ATAGTTGCATTTTTTGATAAGGAAACTAAACATTTACAAATTTTGTTTTTAATTGGAATTTTCCCCAAATATTCATTTTATGATCTAAATCTACTGAATGTTTAGCCTGATTTTAAAACATCATGTAATTGGAAACAGTGGTGTATCTTATAGTTTACTTGTGATCTTTTGCCACAGTGATTCATATGCTTCTTTCTGTCATATTCTGTTGCTATATTAGTTCTTTCCCAAACCCCAGCAAAAGGGACACATTAAATATTCATCTTCTGGGGGTTGGGATTGGGGCTCAGCAGTAGTGCACTTGCGTGGCATGTGTGAGGCACTAGGTTCGATTCTCAGCACTGCATATAAATGAATAAAATATCAACAACTAAAAAAATTTTTTTTAAATACCCATTTTCTGTTAATAACCAAAATCCTTATCAAAAGAATAATTTTGGTGTTAAAAATGTAAGAGTAGTTGAATTATTTGAGTATTGATTATGGGCATAATTTTCCAGCTGTTTCAGATATTCTAGTTAGTGTAAGATTTATTTATACAACAGATTATTGTATATAATAATCATCTCTTCTGGCTTCCTATGTAATTTTTTTCTTGTAAACTTGACTGCTTGTAAGTTCCTTCATGCTGAGGATGTGTCATAAATACATACTTAGTAAATGTTTGATAGATGTACAGTGAGTAAATGAATTATGGTTTTTATACTTGGGACTTGTTTTTTCAAATGGATTATAAACTCCTTGTGGTCACAGGATTTTATATAAATAGTTCCCCACATATAAAAAGTAAGTCTCTRTCACTTTATCTTTCATTGTACGAACTTTTTTGTTTAGTTTAGACATAATTTTGAAGCGTTATATTCTGATGTAATTGAGACACTGTCCTCAGGCACGCTCAAAGTGTTTAGTAGGCATTAGCAATAAAAACTAGGACTTTTGTTTATTGAGGAGTGACTAGGTGCTTTTCACATATTAGCCAATTTAATCACCATAAAAACCTAGCAGGTAAGAATTATTATTTGGAAATTGAGGGAGAGTTTTTAAGGAATTTTCTTAAGGCTACAGAGCCAGAACATGGCTTGAGAAAGAGGAGTATGGCAATTATTTTGGAAAGAGATTTTCAGTGGCTGAAGACTTAAAATATGTTGCCTTCTCACTTTGGTTTTGTGATTGTTTAAACAATTATGTGAACTTTATATCCCAAATAAAAGACATAGCTAATCTTCTGTTGGAGCTGAAAGCTTAAAGAACCATTCGTTTCAAATGAGGAAATAGTTCTGGCTTTCAAGGAGGAGAGTGATTTAAGATTAAGAGAACATTTTCTGTCTTTAATTAAAAATAAGGAATGCTATTTTGGGTCAGGTGAAATGAATTTAGTGCTGCAAATTATATTGTTACCCATTCTAGATGCTTTATAAAAATTTAAACTCAAAATAAAATGAGCTGCTATTTGTACACTGACCAGAGGTGCTAAGAAGTCAAATGAAAAACCTTCTTACAGTTGGGAGTAATTAGTAATAGATAAAACAGGTATATTGTTTCTAGTTGTGAAAAATTTTTGCTGAATAGTGTTTTAAACTCTAGATTAATTCAATATGTAGTCATTGAATTAGATAACTATGAGCAGCAGAGTTAGACACATCAATAAGACCAATATAGCAAGAATAGAGATGATCACTGACTGAGGTTAGATGGAACTGTCTTTGAGGATTTTCTACTGATGCAATGTTTTTACTTTCACAGGCCTTCCAGTTTGTCAGGCCTAGAAACTCCATTTTGAAACTGTTTCCAAAGTTTATTGGGCCCAGAGGCCGTGACTCTAAAAGAGATAGTTTATTTCTTTATGTACCATTGTTAGGGGTGCTAAAGGACTCCAGTATATTCCTTCTTCTATGCAACAACACATGTGGCAAAATGTTGCTTGGTGAGAATGAACTCAAAGCAGGATGAGTTGGTTGGATGGACAACATCAATTTATCTTTACCAGTATCAGGCTTATTAACAAGGAAACCTCTGATGATAAATTCTTGCTCTTCAACTTTCCCCACCCTATCCTTCATTTTTCTAACATCCAACCAATAGATTCATCTCTCTCCTTCTGCTAGAACCCCCCCCCCATTTCACTTATAGTCTTATTAGTTGGGATTCAATTTTCTTTTATAGTCCACCTTAGTTTTTGGACTAAACCTGAAAGATCATTCCTTAGGCTAAGATTAGTCATCATGAAAAGATAAAGTATTGATTAATAAAATGARTAAGACCTATATTTTTGTGAAGCCAAAACTTCCAGTGCAAAGAATTCTCATGTTATGCAGACTGATGAAAGTTTGAGGTATTTTGATCATTAGGCCATATTAGACATATATACTTCTCAGGAAGGAAGAGAACCTTATTATAGTAATTTACAGTAAATACTTGTTTTTTATCATTTCTGGAAGAATGAATTGGCAGGGGCGGGAATACCCGAGTTTATAAACTGCATTTGTACTCTGAGATTTGATGTCTTATTGGTCCTTTACTGATGGACACTTTGTGTTGGTTGTTGTATTTAATCGAGTTATTTTGCATCGAAATATTTCAATTACTTTTAGTATTTAAAAAATTCCACTTTTTTATGTAAACAAAACAAAAGGTAAATAAAACCTAATTTATTTTTCTAATTTAGCACTTGAGAATAACTCAAGTGGTTTTTGCTCTTTCTGGCAGTAGTAAGATCTCCCCTCTTCTTATTTGCTGTTTCTGCATTGCTTGTGAATGTGTTAACATAACTTGTGTTGCTATAATATATTGTGTAAATGTCAGAACAAAAACTTGATGACATGTTTGGATGCCCAAATGCAAATCGTACTTTTTTCTTTTAACAGTTTTTTGAATAGCTGACTTTTAGAGAGATGAACATTGGCCATTTCTAGAGGTGAAAAAATAACCTATTTTGGCCAGCCTCATGAATTCTGTTCATAAAGTGGTAGTACATGTCACATGCTTTGAAAGAGTAACCTACTCCTGATGATTTAAAAAGTAGAATTCTCCTGGGGTTGTGGCTCGGCTGAAGAGCACTTGCCTAGCATGCATGAGGCACTGGGTTGGATCCTCAGCACCACATAAAAATAAAATAAAGGTATTGTGTCTACCTACAACTAAAAAATAAATGTTTAAAAATAAATAAATAAACAAACAAAAATAAAGATACTGTGTCCATGTGTAATAAAAAAAATTAAAAATAAATAAAAAGTAGAATTCTAGTTATTTCCTAAAATAGATTCTGGAAAGTTATCAAAAACACATAAAAATTAAAGCTTTTTCTACATGAAATCCAAAATTGATTCTTTCAATGCCACAAATGTATTCCTTAAGGTTATAATCAAGTTGTAAATTTCTACATAGCAAAAAAATTCTTTAATATTAGCTGATGATAATCTTGGAAGTGATAGACTTTACAATTATCCTGAAATTATCCTGAAATGTGTCTAGGTTTTAGGTGTTATCCATGCCCATGGATTTTAGGCCATCCAAACACCTTGCCTGAGAGCTTCTTGATTTCTGTTCTTTTGTTTTATGCTTTTGCATGAGCTGTCTTAATTGCTTTGGACTTTAAGAAACCATCAAAATGACTTCATTCACTTCTTTTACAAATGTGAAACCTTAAGCCCAAGTTTTGTCAAAGTCCCCAATTAATATCTTGTGTATTTGTAGATTATCTTTTCATAAACAGATAAAGACCACATTGTTTTGAAGAAGTTATGCAACATAGTTCATAGTATTAACTTCTCATGCATGAACAGTTGAATAACCACAGTTAAGCATACATAAGATTAAATACATCTGCTTTTTAGATAACTAGTAGCCAATAACAGAACTTCATTTACAGATTTTCTAGGGATTTGTAAAGAAATGATAGATTCGCTACATATTCCATATTAGTTTTTTATCATGCTTTGAAATTCATGATATCTAAAAACAATTCTATTTATAATTAACCTTTCTAGTTCTTTTACATAACTTCTCTAAAAAGAGGTTTTTTTAAAAAATAAAGGTGTTATTTGTTAGCATCATTGGGAAAAAAAAAAGCTCTACAACCAGATAAATTTGAGTTGCATCCATAAGTATTTGTATGTATCATTCTACTTAATAATGGTGCAGTCTGCCTTCTGCCCTATATGAACTAGGAATTCAGGKAAAGCAAAGGGGGAGAGAGTAAGACTTAGCCAATGTTTTTGTATACTTGAAAGAATATATTCTGTACTGCTTTAAAGTATGTTTGAAATATAAACTTTTAACTGAAATTAGGATTGTTCATCTGTGTGTGTTGATTATTTTGGTATAATTTATAGTAATTTGCCAATCTAATGACAGGACTTCTTTTAGCACAGTTTAAACCAGCATTTCTAGAAGCTGTCTTCTTTCTGTTTGTTATTTTTCTTTTATATTTTATTAGAGTCTTTTAGAAAACACATAATAAGAAATTGTATTACTATGAAGAATGATTTTTCTATTGAAAAAAAGAAATTGTTTTGACCAAATAATATTAATGAGCTAACTTTAGTTTTCAGAGCAATATATGTTGTGATATGGCAAATTCATAAACTGCCTTGTTGAATTTTGTTATTTACAGAAATCTAGAACTAGTTGTACTTTGACTCTTACTAGTTCTTTGTTCATTAGTGTCTTTAATAATGCCATTTTAAAATGCATGTTTACTGAATTGAAAATAAGTACCAGACTTAAAAGAATGATCAAGAAAGCAACTCTTATATTTTAATGAAGTCATACTCCCACAATTTTTGTGAGGTTTTGTATTTGAATAATTTGGGGTCATAATGTAATATTGATTCTGTTTTTCCAAGGGAACTGCAACAGTGTATATACATCATTTAAAATTCTCGGTGCATATATTTAAAATTTTAAATCTTCAGAATATTCTATGAATAGGATTTAAATCATAAAATAGATAAGAATAAAAATAAATTTGTTACATCTGAGTATTTTTTTATTTTTAATAGGATACAACATCTATTGAAAAGATGTCAAACTGTTGCGAAGAGATGTAAGTATAAAAGTGAACTGTGTAGTGCTCTTATTTAAAAATTGAAACAGCTGGCCACACTTGAAAACCATGTATATGTAATGGAAATTAATATAATAATGACTTTTTCTTGGAGCCTTGTCTGAGGCTGGAGCTAGCTAGACAGACATACTCCAGTCTTATAGTAAGGGGTCTTCCAGCCAGGATAATTTTTAAACAACATAAGTAGTGATCATTTTTGTTCCTTGTCTAACTAAAGTAAGTTAAATTATTTGTCCCGAAAGTACATCAAAAGAGATTTGCCACTGTGTTGTTGACACTTATTCTATTAATCCTGAGATTCTCCTCTGCTTCAAAAGTTGCTCTAGGTTGATTGACGATGCAGATACAATATCTGCTATCCAGAGTTAAAACTCAGCTGCATGCCACAATGAAAGAAAAGCTGTATTTGTGATGCTGGGACACAATTCATCAGAGTCCAGTAATGGATCCCCAGCCAACCTGTATTGTTTTAGCTGACTGAAGTGCACCATGGGAGTGCTGTCTTTCACTAATAATGCTGTCTTCTGTAGATCSAGGCCCCGAAAGCCATGGCAGCAGACCTTCTCAGAAGTTTTTGGCACTCGTTGGAAGATCCTGTGGTTCATTCCTTTCAGGCAGAGGCAACCACTGCGCGTTCCCTACCACTTTGCCAATCACGTCTAAACAGATGGATGGTGGGCACAGATGGGTCCTCCATGCTGGAAATGCGTTACAGGTTTTATGATAATAGAACTATGACAGTCTTCAAGTCAATTAAAATCCACCCACCAATCTTAGGCATCATAATGTGCCCCAGGCTTTATTTTAATAGTGATCTTGATCCTGTTGTGGGACTAATACAAGATCTATATTTAAGTTTTAAAGCATGTTTACTTTCAAATTAGCTTTCCACAGAGATTTCTATAAATGCTTTTGTTATTAAACTCAAAAGGCAGCGATTAGGATGAAATAATTGTACATAAGTTCCTTTTAGTACTGACTGTGTTACAGATTTTAATTTATGGGAAATTTCAGATGTTTATTTAAATTTTCACCTTTAAGCAGTACTAATGAAATCTGAATTTAATTATTCAGATTTTACAAAACTTGATATATACCTTCTTATATGTAAATTTCCTTTTTCAAATACAAGTTAAAATACTTAATACTTCTTTTTATATGTGCTGCAAGTTTTTTTTTTTTAATGCAGTGTAGAAGTGAATAACAACAAAGGGCAGTGTTTTCTTAGGAGTTGCTTCCTAATGTTTTCTCTTTTTCTCCTCCCCAGAACCAAAATAAAACACCACAAAAGTAAAACACCAGCTACCTACCTTATAATAAAGAAAAGGTTGATTTTTTTCCACATTAATTTTCTGTATTTTTTCCCTTTACTGTTGTAATTATTGATTGTTTTTAGGATATTTGCTTCCAAGAGAAATTTGTGACCAGTGGGCATACATTCCTATTTACCCTAAAATTTTAATGAGGAAAGGGTAGAAAATTTGCAATAATTCCAGTTACTTTTCTAGTGCAATTATATTAGAATGCATATGTTTTTAAAATGCCAGTATAACTAGATACTATATAATGTACAGTGTAAAGAAGAGTATTGTGCTTTTAAAAATATATATCCTTTTTACTTTTATTTATCTACTAGTGAATCTAAAATTATTCATTGGACATTTATGTAATAGATAGTGGCCAACTCATTGAAATTTTATTTATAAGAAGGTACTAGTAAAAGTAAGTTATTAACTTTCATGTACCTATAATCACCTAAATTGAAATTAAATTTTCATTGGCCAGCTACAATTTGTATTTCTAAACACCTTTTATCAGTAGCTGTTAGGAAATGACCTTAAAATAATAACATAGAATAATCTATATTTATCATTAGCATTATACAAATTTAAGTTGCTAATAGTGATTGGAAAGCACAGAACATTTGGGTAAAAAGTCATTTAGTGTGCTTTGAAGTAAATTCAGATTTTAATTTTTTTTTCCATTGGAATACTGCAAAATCCATGCTTTTTAAAAAAATTTATGTACTTACATTTACTTGAAGAGAATATTGAAATTGTCTACTATTCTTGGACCATATTAATATTTTTCTTTGGTTACTTTGGAAAGAAAAAAATCACACCTGGGAACTAATGAAACAGAAGGTGACCATTGTCAGCCAATTAGCTATACTATGGCTAGTTCATTCAGAAATTGTAAATATCTTATAAAATATCCTAAAATAATAGAATTAACTCTCCTCAAAAATAATAACATGTTTTTATGTTTTAATTATAATGTGTTAATATTTTAAAACTTAGAAGTGGCAGATGAAGGTATTTATTGGTGCTAATYAGAAGCATAGTAAATGTAATATAAGAAATATATTTATAAAAATTAGTATGTGTGTTAAGCAGTTGGATTGAATTTTGTGCAAGCTAACTGACCAAATTTGACGTTGTGGCCCAACTATTAAAAGGAAGTATTGTAGCTATTATGTAGGTAGATATCAGTTGAATACTTTATATTGTATATATTCCTTTTACAAAAAGACTTTGAGAAAACAGCGGAACCAAGTGAAGACCCTGTACAGAGCTTTATGGACATATTTCACATAGTTAACAGTAGCTACACTGAAAGGTAATGAGAGAAGTCTATTTCCCATTCCAAGGACATATATTTTTTATTTTCTTAGATTTATCGTTTTTAGGGCATATTCTCTTCCTTTCTTTCTCTTTACCCTCCTTGGTCCTGCTCCGTCTGTACCCATTTCCTCTTAAGTTAGTGGACTACAAACTAATACACTAGATAAGCATATAATCATTTTGTTTGAGTGTCAGAAGTGCTACATATCAACATTTATATAAAAATATATATTAAAGTATATCTATATAGGCTTATGATGTAACTTATAGTATTCTCAAGTTAGCACACTTAACCGGACTGTGAGATTTGTAGTTGCTGTTAGACTATCTGATTGATAGTAGCCAGTTGGCAGTTTCCTAGGGATTGTTTAAACTCTGGTGTTCTTTCTGCGCCCTCTTTTGGCTAATTGATGTAATTATACTGGCTCTAGAGGTTTACTGTCCCATAAGTAAATTCTGAACATGTCAGAGGTACACACTAAGAAGGCGTTCATGTACAAAAATATAAAGTTTTGTGAAAATGAATGTGTCACTGTTGACAATGTTATTTCTAGCCCAAAAGAATGTTATGCTTACTTTGCTTCATTAAGTATATTCTTAGTATAATTCTTACTGTAAATCACAAATTTAGATCAGGACAAACTAAGCCATTTCATGTATTTTATTTTAAATCGTATTTTGGCAAATTAATTCTTGACACTTAGAAAAGCCATTACCTTAAAAGTTAGTTTATTATAAAACACAAATTTTTATAGTTATAAAGGCATCTAAGTATCTAGAATGTCTTACTGAATATCTAAAAAATACATTTAGTTTTCTCATTCTCAAATTTTGGAATGATTTTTTTTTAAACTGGCACTCTTGACTGAAAACAACTAAGAAGAGATTAGTAATTCTTGCTATACTTTTTTTCTTTGTTCTTTTTTAACTTCTTTGGTCAGAATTATACCTCTAGTTGTAGTAGGCAGTTTATTATGTGTTCCGGATAACCACAAAGATAACTAAAGGTGTTGAGCATTAGAAAATAATTAGGAGTAGTAAGATTACTAATGTAATCTACAGGTTGGACTAAAGCTTTCTTTATGAATTTTCCATTAAATTTTAGCCAAATATAAATTAAAGAATTTTTTACATTGGAAGAGTCATTAACTTGGCTTTTGGAGAGGAAAGGTTCTTCTAGGATACAGTTGTAACTCATGAACAATCATATTTGTTGTTGTCTGCAAACAGAAATGTTTATGGGTTCAATAGAGGCTCAAAATTATAGGCAGAAATGAACGGAGTTCAGAATCCTTAAAGTAAGCATTTGGCTAAAGAGTTATCGTACTTTGTAACCTAAACTTAAAGTTTAAAAATATTAAGTTAGCCTATATGTCATTGTAATGAAAATATTATTTTACTTAAGTCATATTTTAAAAATTGTGATTAACATAAGAGACAGCTATTTAAAATTATAGTTAACATATTAACCTTTCTTTCAGAAGATAAATAGTTTCCTTTTATAATAGTGAAGTAGAGGCTTGAAGGTGTAGTGTAGTGGTAGGACACATGCTAGGCCTGGGTCCAATCCCCAGCACCAAAAAATAAAAGAAAAATGGAGTAGTTAATATCAGCATGCAAAAAATTCAGTATGACAACTGAATATAATTTCTGTCAGAATTAACATCAGTGCATTTTTACTAATGCATACAGGAATTTTCACTAAGTATGGTGCCTAATTCTAACTATTCTCAGATTTTCAAGTCACTTCCACACAAGTTAACTAGTTAGAGATACATTTTGCTCAAAAGGGTTTTTAAATTCTGAATGCTAATTACAAAGACTTAAGTTAGGACAATACTTCCAACTAGGAAGTGTGAACTAATTAGATTATGACCACACGATTTTCTATTGTTAAATCATGGGGCAGTTCTAGTATTCTCACAATATTACTATTAAATTATAATGTGTCTAGCTGTGGTTTAATATGGCATTAATATTCATTAACATTGCTGCTAGTTTCTCTCTGGACTTTCTCAAGTATATGAGTACTTCTCTTGTGCTTCATGTATTAATAGATTACTTAGCTCAAGTTTACTAAAGTGTAGTAACTTCTTTAAGCAAGTTTTTGATGTGATCTCTAGTATACATAGATATATCTAGAATTTATTTGAAGCTTATACTTAAAAACATTAAGTAATTTACATAGGCACATGTATTAGATTTCATCCAAGCTCTACTATGCTTGCTTTGAAAAATTATAAGTATTTAATAAGTCAAGTACATTTAGTCTGTACTACTTGCTAGTATTATTAACCATATAATTAACTAATGAATGTGTTATTTAATGCCCATATTTGCTGCTTTCTGTTCTAAGAATCAACATCTGAATTTGTCTATAAATGAAAGATCTTAGTATATTCTATTTTTAGCCATTCTCAGTTGAATTCTAGAATCTTCTACAGTAGAGTATGAGAAAGTATTAGAACCTACTTGCTTGAAGTATTTTGAACCAATGTTATATTGTCAATGAATATTTAGCATTTCTGCTATCTTTGGAATGGTGAAGGTTTATCTCTAAGATAGTGACTTTTCTCTGACTTCTTGCATTATCATTTTGCAATTTTTTAACAACAGAATTCACTGTGTTTTTATCTGTTTTTCAGAAGTTGCAAATACTGCCTTCTAGTGCTAATTTGAAACAGAAGTTACAATATTTAGGATTCTTAAATCACTGGTATTACTGATATTTTCCATTATCATAAGTTTTACTATTATTATGTCCTTTCCCCTTGATACTCTAGATGACAGGAATCAATGAGTAGTGAATAGCCAAAAAATTGGAGAGAGAGTGGGGAACTTAATAAGATGGGGAGATGGAGCATGAGTAATCAGCATCTCAGCAACAGGGTTGACTGTGACAGTTTCTGTGACCTCATAGAATCTTGCTATAGTCATTTTATTTTAGCCTATCACTTGTTGATACAATTTTCTGTAAGAGTTGCTAATGCATTTAAGCTTTTAGTTCAAGTTATTTAAAGAGTTTATATTTCTCTTTATTTTCAGCTGGTCAGACACCTTGGAGAAATTAACTTTAAGTAATTTGGTAGTGTATGCTAACCTGCAGTATTAAAAATAATGTGAAAATGCAGCTATTTAATGCAGAGGGGAAATGAATAGATTGCTCTGAGTGTGAAAAAAAATGGGACTATTTTGACATGTGTCTTGTGGCAAAGAAAGGGTAGTATTCTAGAAAATTTTGTCACAGAGGAAAAAACCAACAATTTGAATATAAAGGGTGGATTTCACCTTAACATTTGGGATATTTGGATTTCTTTCTTGATCCTGAAGGTCTCCATTTCTGTTGGTATTTTAAATTCCTTATACCATGTAATGTAGTGCTTAGCACAGTTGTTCAACACTCTGGGCTTTTTGGTATTGATAGCATTATATATATAAACAAAGATGTGGACAAAACAACAGCAACAAAAGATGTGGGTTTTTTTGTGGCTTTGCTTGCTTGCCTGTTTGACTTAAAACAGGGTTTGATTGTAACTGCTAACTAAAAGGAAAGCTTGTCTGCATATTGCAAGCTCTGTCCTCTTGCCAGTATGTATGGGTGATACTTTAACCTACTGGTGCCTGAAGTTAGTGTTTTACAACTTCAACAACTAAAACATCCTGGTGCTATTCATTTTAGCATTGAGTGACATTTTTAATTCCTGTACCAAAGAGTTAATTTTCTTTTTGGTTGAGAGTTTTCTCGTGCATCTGTGTTTATAAAGTGGAAGTGAATGGTACTAAGAACAGTTTTATTACCAGGTCTTACTTTTTGCAACTGCTGCCTTGATTTAATGATTTTAAATGTTCCTCGATGGATTTTTTTTTCTTCCAGTTAAGCAGGTTAGGTATGGATATTACTTTTGTATTTTAATATAGCTTAGCTATTTTAAAAGGTAGTTTAATAGGCTAAAGTTACAAAAGATAGTTTAAGCACTTTCGCAAAATTATTTTTGCTTTTTTTCTGCAGCAATTAATAAAAAATAGGAAGAACAACTATGATTTATTTCTGTAATGAGTTATATAGCATATAGTGATAACTGAAGCAAAGTGCTAAAATGAAGGATTAGTAGCAGGTCTTTTTTGATTACAAATTAAGAATTTAGCACCTCTGTGTCTGTAATCTTTATTGGCTTTAAAGAATGATATTGCTATTTGTCTGTTTTGTGAATAAAGATAAGTAAAATTAAAGAATACTTTTAATATACATATATATAAAGTGTGTGTGTGTGTATACACACATGTATACACATACTTTCCCAATAAGAAATGTAAATATACCTTGATTTAAGCAAAACTGTTAATAGATAATTAAACTTTACCAAAAAAGGAAGAACAAGTCTGGATATTGTTACTCACTTTACATGAAATTTCAGAGTAAGGTTATTTTTAAAACTAATTTTGCTTAGTGATTCATTTTACAAAATGGAGACAAACACTCTTTAAATGTACTTGTAATTGTCCAGTTGTAACACTGCTATGTATATACCGTTTGGGTTCTCTATTTCTTCCCCTTAAGCTCTAAAAATACTCATTTAGTATTTTTAAAACTAGCTGAAATGGTTAATCATTCTGGCAAGAAGATAATAGTATATATGTGTTGAAAAGTAGACAATCATATTTGAAAATGTTTTGCTTTATTTTTGATCAGCTGAAATCAATCTTTCCTTGAATATAGATTTTATGTGTGGGTTTGCAGTGAATTCTGAATGGAAAAAAAGAATCAAGTCTGAAACTTATGTGAAACATGACTTCAGATCATTTGAATGATAGTCAGGAATCAAGATGAGCATATTCAAGGTGAAAGCAAAATTTACTTAAAAGCAAAATGGGATGGAGTAACAGTATGGATCTCGCTAGTCTGCCAAGCATTATTTCCTAG